CTGTGCAATGGAACAGGAAACCCTTGGGCAGGACACAGCAACGTCATCGCACCACCAAGGGACACTTTGAAAGTCTGCGAATCGTGTAACGACGAGAATTTCGGACGGGTGCTTGCGACAGGCTCTATGAAATATTATAAATAACACGAGTACTTGAAAGTGTGATTGAAAACTGTATCCAGTGAAATAATGTATATTAACATCTAAATATCATCTTGCAAATAATAATAAAGTTTGATGTTATTTTTATTTAAAACTTTATAATTTCCGTTTAAATTCTTGTTATTCTATAAAACTATCTACGAATCTATCATATTTATTTTAAAATTCGAGAAATTGATTTATTTATTTTGAGAATCGATGAAATTATCACGAAACAGAGAAAGAAAAAAGGAATGCAAATATTCCCACTACCTCGAATTTGTCATCCACCTTTGTTCCTTTTCTTTGATATCGCAGCCGTGCATTCACTCGGACGCGCTTGGAATAATCTAATTCAGTTCTTACATCGAAGATATTTTGTATACCTGAAGACTGGAACAGGAAAGGCTTGAGCTGGACATGGTAAAGCCAGTGATTCGTTCCGACTAACCGTATACGTCGTATAGGTACGCGAATTCTCTGTCATCGGGAATTTGGGCTTTGTGCTGGCAACTGGTTCTGTGAGAAAGAACTTTTATTTGGGTGTGATCGTCGTTAATCAAAATTCAAATATCATTTTAAGCCCTGTTACATGAAACCATTCTATTTCGCTAGGACAGGGTAATTAATTTTTGTTAATTAATCCTTTTGATCGTATATCTAATTCACAATCCAATTAATTTTTTATCAAACTATCACACCCGAAAGTTCTTTTCAAACATTAAATTCCATTCGCCCTCGCGATCGATTTCAAATTCTAATATCTAATCTTACGATATATACAATGACCTGATCCCACCTATACAATGGAATAGGAAATCCCTGAGCAGGACACAGCAAAGTTAAAGGGTGGCCACTTTTTGCAATAAATCCACGCGAATTATCCATCGTTGGAAATTTAGGACGAACACTACCCACGGGCACTGTGAATTAGAACGAGAGAAAACTAGAACGTTGAACGTTAGTAACGTTTCCATTGAAACATAGAAATGCCTTCGATGCAAGGACAGGGAACCTAACAATTGAAAGAGCTTCATTTTGTCTGGAAATATGTGTACATTATCTACTTGCAATGTGTGTCATTCCATTCGAAGAATGAATTCTTTAGCATCGATCAATATAAATGATTTCCTTTGCCATTCGTGCTTTCACTTTGCCATTGTATTCGTTTTGTTAATCGATTAGCGTTTCAACAACCATTATCATCATTAGTCAAAAATTTTCATATCGATCGTACCTATAAGTCGGAACCGGAAATCCTTGAGCAGGACAAAAAAGGGAAAGACTATCGTTCATCTTCGCTGAAAGTCCAATCAGGTTGATCGTACTCGAAAGCTTAGGTCGTGCACTCGCCACAGGTTCTGTTTATTTGTATCCACCAAGATAGATAACAAGAGAATAATTAAAATCGTTGGATAATGATCTAAATTATTTGACGATTCGCGACTTACTTGTGCACGGGAACAGGGAACCCTTGGGCTGAACAAGCTAGAGTTACTGAGCCGTCTTTGATCGTACGAAATCCTCTAGTGTCGTCTATCGTTGGAAATTTTGGTCTCACACTGCCAACGGGTTCTGGATAATAATAATCATAATAATAATAATACTAATGACGATGATAATAATCTAAAAATTCGAAACTCCTGTTGAAAGTGTATCCCTTATACCTGTCTACACCGGGACAGGTGTATCCTATTGATTATAATAAATCGAGAAAAATAATCTCAGCGAATCAAAAGTGTTAAACTTAAATTTATTATGATCGTACCTATGAGATGGAACAGGAAATCCTTGAGCAGCACACAATAGCGTCATACTTCCACCCTGGTACGTCATGAAACCGTTTATGTTTGACATAGCAGGAAACTTTGGTCTTACACTGCCAACCGGTTCTAAAGAACCGATAAATTCAAAATTAATCCGAATCTATCGGCGCTTTTTTCTTTACCATAAAGGGACAGGGAAACCCTGGTAAAACTTTAAAATGAAACAACTCAAATATCTCCAGCAACTATATGTATACGAACAACATTCTAATTCTACCAATGCATTACTAACGGAAACTCTTGAAGCAGAGTAGAATATTCGTACTTCTAATTCGAAAATTCTAACCATTAATTATTTCTTTTTGTTTGTCAAAGTAACCATAAACATTGTTTTTCTTACATTCGAAAGGAAAAAAAGATAAAGGCAAAGGTAGATAAATGGATAGACGAAAAACAAACGAAATACGCTAACGATTTGAAAACTCGACTTACTTGTACAGAGGGACAGGAAAGCCCTGAGCGGGACACAACAAAGTGACCGAGCCATCCATGGTTGTTCGGAAACTCCTGGAGTCATCGATCGTTGGAAATTTTGGCCTCACACTGCCAACCGGTTCTAATTGTGTCGCGTTATTTTAAAATCGATTCGTTATTGCCTATTTAACATTTAAACATCGTCCTATTCATACCGCTAACATAGGTTTGTTCTCTACCTGTGCAGAGGAACGGGGAACCCCTGTGCTGGGCACAACAGGGCTTGCGAACCGTCAACCAGTGTTCTGAAGCCACGGATGTCATCTGTAGAAGGAATCTTGGGACGTACACTTCCCACGGGCTCTAAAAAGCAGGCCTACATTTAGAGACTTTCAATAATCTTTCTAATATTTCTTTGCTATTCCTCGAATCACAATAAGTATCAACAAAATGGGACAACATCGAGTAATGCGATTGGATTGAAGTTATTAAAAACCGTAGAATGCTAAGATCGAGTGAAATAGGTCACCGTAATGTCGGTAGTTGAACGATTGTGGTATTAATCTGACATCGATGGATGTCACATTCCTGCGTTTATCGATCTTCGACTCGGTATTTCCCGATGGTGTCTCTGAGAATACACGGAAAAGACCTTAGAGAGATGGAACGTCGAGTATGTGAAATACCACGTCCTATTCTCTCTGATGGTTCTAAATAAGAACATCGAGGCGAAAGGAGATATCAGCTACCGTTAATCATTATTATTATCCTATGATGGAATTTTAATTATTTCAGTTTTGATTAGATAATAAAAGATATTATTCAAAAAATTATACTCAGTCGTTTCCTTATTTTCTCGACACCACTGAATTTAGGCCTTCGAATAAAGAAATATTCCTTCCGTGTTTTTAAACCCTTTATCAAGATTCCGTTCCTTTTGTTATATCCTTATACACGCTTACAGATCGACGCGATACGATAGAAAATATCGTACCTATGAGATGGAACCGGAAATCCTTGAGCAGGGCACAGAAGCGGTATATTGTCACTGGAACTCGTTGTAAGTCCATTAATGTTGTCCATACTTGGAAACTTTGGTCGTACACTCCCCACAGGTTCTGCGTAACCAAAAGATCGTAGAACCTTATACCTTATTAGTATAGCAACCCTTTCCTATTTTATCCACTTTCTATGATTATTAGAACCTTCTAATCTTTGTTCATTTGAATAATCTTTTCGTATTTAATATCTATTATTATAGTTTTTATTTATTATCCATTAAAAAATCAATTCGATGCACAAATAGAGGACTTCAACCAGTGCTTTTGTTCTCACCAATCGCTGTTATACATTTTGTTCTCCATCAATGTTGTAAAATAGGACAATTAAACACTCAACGAAGCTGAAGAAGTCGTTGTTCGATAAGAATTAAAAATATTTCATCGTACATTAAAAAACACGAAAAATTAAAAAAACAATAGATGAAAGAGATAAACAAAAAACAAATAGCAGCTTCCTTAAGTGTTACGTCCATTATAAAGAGAATTTCATATAATAATAATAGTAAAATTGTAATTCCTCGTTAGAGACGTTAATTATTTTTTAAAGAACTTACCACGCGAGAGCGAAGGTCAGAGCCCGGAGATCGCGAGAGCACGCCGTTAAATAACGAAAGAGAATTTCGCGCTTCGATCATTGTTTTCTTTTTCTTTTTTTTTTCTAATTGTTTTTTCTTCAAATACAACTTTCGTAACCGATCATGCCAAGAGTCAAGTTTTTGGCGGGCGGTGGCGCGTGCCCGCAGGGGTACCCTGTCCCAGCATTCAGGTTTACCAATCAACTCGATCCTTTAATGAATTATTTTTAAAAATATGAAATTAATTGTATTTACTTATGATTTAACAAAATGAGAAATATAATCTTTTTAAAATTCGCAATAAATTATATCCAATTGCTTCCATTTTTGTTGGTAATTGTTATACGAAAATAATGAATTATTGAAAAACGATCGAGCTAATTGGCAAAAAAGGCCAGACGAATAATTACATGATATAAGAAAGTTAATTTTCCAATAAAAGTATTGTGCAAATACATCGAACAAATAATTAATACAAAATTTGTCATTTATTTTATTTTTATTTTAATATGTTTTAATTGAATAGGAAAATTAATTTTCTTATAAAGAAAAATTTCGAAACCAGACGTATTTCCATGCATACAAAAATACTAATATTTGTCACTATCTCAAATCGAATGAATCTTTCATTATGTTTATAAAAAGTATTATTTCTAATGACTTCACTATAAAATGGCGCTACTATATATTAATTACAATAAATTGTTATATAATTATTACTTCGACCATATGATACGTATAATTAATGTAAAATGATTATTAATTGACTGTATCATTGAAACGTCTGGATTCAAAATCGGAAACACGATTCTGATTCACGTATATATGAAAATGAATAAGCAACAAATGAATTCCAAACTTGACAAACATTGTTCTAAATTTAATTTAATAGAATATTAATGAAGAATAAAATCTTAAAAAAAAAATCAATCAGAATCGTAATTTCAATGTGAAAGATAGAAAATTTGTATGCTTCGACTTACCGGTAATGACGAGACGTCCCTTAGTAGCAGATAATCTTGTTTCTCCAGTGAGTCTGTGTTTCGTACGGCATTGATAAGTCTTGTATCCGTCTTCGGGTCCAACATCTCTGATATGTAATTCTCCAGAAGGCAAAACCAAGTATTTACCATCTATTCGAAATAACCCCCAAAGGAAAAAAAGATTAATAATCTTATCTTCATCTTTATAACAAAATCATGCAAATCAAAATGATTGATACTCGATCATTAATAACTATGGAATTAGATTAAGTTCAAAAATAGAAAAAATTCATTTTATCACGTATCTTATAGTATAAATAATTACAATAATTATTCAATTTATATTCAAAATTAATATAAAAATTATAAAGTACGTATTCGAGAAATAAGAAGAATTTGTCATTAAATTTTCAACAAGACGAGATCAAATTCAATCACTTTGAAAAAAACGAGCAAGATCTTTAAACGTTCTTACAAACTATCTAATACAATTAATTGAATACAATCGTATGCATGCCACACTATAGTCATTGCTTCCCAAGTGAGTCGAACGTTGAATGCCGAGAAATTTCGTCTCTATTTCCTACTTCAATCGTTCGACGTACCACCAGGGAGTTCCAACGCGTTAATGTAACGACAAGAGGAAATACTGCAAGTACATTCGACGCTTAATTAAATGTGATGTTTGTTATCAAGCAACTACGAAACACAATTACATTTATTGCATTCCAGTATTATTATTATTGCGCACTATTTCCTCCGACCCTTCGCATTTAAGGAACGTTAAACTTCATATGAATAAAATATTTTATAAATATATACACATTTGTTAGATACATTGTTTAAAATTTGCCATCAATAAAAAGTAAACACTGCAAATATCGTAATGAATTAAATAAATTCATGAATAATTAATTATTCTTTGAAAACGCAATCCATGTGATTTACTCTGTCATAATAAAATATTTATAGTTTGTTGAATTGCAAATTGATATTATTTTGATGAAAATAAACATTTATTATGTTTTCGGCAAAAATTGTCTTTCTGATAAAATTTATGAACAACTTTATTTATAAAATACATTGCAATTCTATAATAAATATTTAAAACCACGAAAACTACACGTATAAATGAAAAGGGTCCATCGTTGGAATTATTTTGTTAACATTTCCGACATCATGCTTTGCAACATTTGAATATTTTAGGAAACGGTTTATTTTCGAAATAAAGAAAAAGACAAATACTTGGAACAATTATAATTATTTTACACTTTTAAATGAATTAAACTGATCATTAGTTGTCGTTAAAAATTATATCTGATATTTATCAAACATAATGTTTAATGTTAGTAAAAACATCTGTCCTAATGATTGACAATCTATTAGAAACGTAGTAAAGACATTTTATATGTCGCAAAACAGGACATACGGAACGGATTAATCAAAGTCATGCAATTAAAAATATTATGAAGCATATTAATGACTACAGACTTGTAAAAAAAGGGTTTAATCGGAATGGCGCTAGGGAAGGAATAAAACGATTTCAAATAAAAAAGGAAAAAAAGATTGAAGGACAAGGAAAGGACGTCTGGGACAGCGCGAGCAGCGGCAGTCAACGTCGTACGAATTTATTCCGAGAGAGATTCGATATACTCAGCAGCAATACACGAAGGTTTCAAAAATACGCTTGCTAAGTATGTGTCCGGTTTCGGAACGTTCATAAGAGAAGAGCGTTCGAATAAAACGAGAATTCTCCATAAGCTATCTTAAATTACATTAGATTATGAGAAAAAATCGAGAATTAGATCGATCGAGAGAATACGAAAGTACACTCGTAGAAAAAAATAGAAGAGCATACATTCAAGATTCTTGCTGAAACCCAATTTCCTGACATATTTGAATTCTATCTTCCTAAATTGATCTAACATAATTTTTCTTTAAGATAAACGAAAAGAAAAAGAAGTAACACAACGACCTTGCATGTCAGACTAATCGCGTGCTATTATACAATTAATAAAACACGTCAACGTTAATTCATGTTCACGCCAAGAGTGAAAAACAGAAAATCGTAAATTTAATTGGGATGGTCAATAAGGCGGTGTACGAAAGTGATCTTGATAGTTACTCGTTAATTTCTTCAACGGATTTTAACTTTTTCCTCGATAGTTTTTTTTTTGTCTTTGTTCGTTTTATTTCTTTTTTAAAGATTCGATTTTACGTACGTCTAGAAGAAAATACGACTAGAAGAAAAATCGACAATCTAATTCGAAAGTCGAGATTCGAATAAAATATAAATCAGGGTGAACTTTCAAAAGTCACCAACGAGATTTACGATGCATACAAAGGACAAGACAAAACGACAATAAATTAACAAGGTAAACGCGAGTCGATATTTCTTCTTGGTAAATGTAAGTGTACCATAATCGGGTCTAGGATAAATGTCAGTAGTATTGTCTTCAATCCAAGAGTCGACTTCCACGAATTCGGCGACGAAGCTCGGTATGTGACACTTGATAATAGCAGCGTTCCCCCGTAGAACGTGTTCGTCCATCACGTTCACTGCATACCGCTGCCCGACAACTGTAACCAGACATCGGTTTCCGGTTTTACCATAAAGATGCAAATCTTCTACACAGTGCATCCTATCAATTGTCAGTTAGGTACAATTGATAGGTACGTCAATTTCTATTTCTCGTTCACGTTCGAAATAAATATTCGATATTATTGCTTATAAGATCATTGTTAGATCGTCTTAAATTAGTTCATTAATTTTTTTCATTAAATCTGCGTAGTGATCTGCATCTTCGGCAGATAATATCTCGCGTGCATCTACGATCGGATTGTTTTTATGAATTGGGAAAAGTAAAAAGAAGATATTTAGTAAGCCGAACGAACGAGTTTAACGACACTGTTTTTATTCATTTAATATTTCACGTTGTTATCCTCGTTCAAGGTATTGAACTTGCGACAAAGGGGTAAAATAATAGATATATACGTTTGGCGTAATACGTTCGAGTGAATGTCTCTACCGTATGACTGGTCGTCGGCGACGTAACTTCCGCCATTCGAGTCGATCCAACCTACAACATCCACGTGGTCTGCTACGAAGGAAGGAACTTGACATTTGAAAATGGCCGCGTTGCCGCGTATTGCAAACTGGTCGTAAACCTGAACTTCAAAGTACTGCCCGACCACTGTAATAAAGCGAGAAGAGAAAAAGGATAAAAAGAGAAGAAGAGAGATAGAAATGGAATACAAGAATGAGGGAGACCGGAAGAGTAGTTTTTAAAAAAAGAAGTTCGAAAAAGAGACTGAGAGAAGGGGAGATCGTCAGTGGAACACGACCTCTTGCTTTGATCTCACAGATTAAAATTTCAATGAACCAAGCAGGGATCAACTCGTGAATTTGATAACCCAACGATGCATCTCTATGAATCTTCGTCAGATTCAGCGAACAAAAGTGGAATGTCAATTAAACGGTGCAAAACTTCATCTGGTCATCGTTTCGTTCGACACGTTCGTTCGATCGATTTTTACGAAATACCAATATTCTCGACACAGGAGAATATTACAAAGAGACCACCAAAACGTTTACGGAGATATTGTTAACACGTTGACTAGCTTAAACGAATCATCTTTTACGAAAAAAACTTAGTCGTCTTGCTTATCATAAATAATATTATAATATATTAAACATCAATTATATTTACAAAAATCAACGCTTGTCGAATGAAACATCTAAAACGATCTTCTATAGTAATTGTATTACTCTAATTATAAGTGATAGCCACTAATTTTCCTACGGGCAATTTTTCTCTTGTTTAACAGAAACCAAAGTAAATCTGTTAAGAGTAAACCATCAATGATCCCTAACGACATTACGAGTACATAATCATTTCCAACAGATGACACATCAAAGATCAAATTTAGTGGATTCTTGTTTGAACGAGCAACCAGTAGAATTTCTCCTAGAAAGAGAGAATGAGAGACAGTTAGATAGAAAAAGAAGTAAAAAGAGTGAAAAAGAGTAAAAATGAAATAGAGAGAGAGGAAGAGAAAGAGAAAGTAATAGATGTGGGTAAAGCGCCGTAGGAAAATTCAATTCTATCGTCGGCAAATAGCCCCGGAAACGATCCTCTCTTCACCGAAAAGCGAATATAAAGCCGACGAGGCTGGTCTCGTCTCTTCGTAGAGAAACGGTACGTTAATTTGCTCTCGGCCTGATTAGTCTGACTTAACCTAATCCGAAGTTCCCAAGCCGAACGAGGCCACTGCCAGCCGCACGCGCGTTTCCATCCACCCATCCATGTAAAACCGAGAATCGATCGAGAAAAGGGCAGGTGCAAACTTTGCCTCGGACTCCTGCTTTCCGCTTCATCGACCATCCTCTTCTTCTTTTTTTTTTCTTTTATATATATACCAGCACGATCATCGTATTCGATCGTGTACAATACTCTCTTCACTCTTCGAAAACAAAAAAGGTGGTTTTGCGTGCAAACGTTCATTCACGCACGCACGCACGCACGCACGCGAGTGGAAAACCACGTTATTTAATACCCAAGGATGAGTACGAGTTGTAATTTAATATAGTAATTCAATAAAAGTACCGTGTCGAGTGCCGTACAGCTTTTTCCATTCTAATTCCGCTACTAACTGAAGTTTCGATCGTATCATATCTATACTTTTATAGCGAATGTTTTTATTTCCTATCGTTTTATGATTCAATTTTAAAGAAAAATTCAAGGATATCGTTTTCAAGGCATGCCGATATACACAATATATATAGATCTACAAGAGCATTATTTAAATAAAAATGGATACAACTAAAGCTACTCGGTCGTTAATTCATTTTCACACTCGAAATCGTACGACGATGTAAAATTGTACCCTTTTCGTCTTGATTACTAGAAGTATACGTCGAGCCGTCCTCAACTGCAAGCCACTCGATCACGTCTACAAAATCCGCCACAAAGCTGGGCACGAGGCACTTCAAGGTTGCCGTATTACCGCGCAAGACAAACTCGTCGATGACTCTCGTCTCGTAGAACTGCTGGACCACTGCAACGCGCCGTTTCCCAGAAAGAGAGATAGGTAGATCGTTATGTAAACGATGATGAATCATTACAAAATAGGTTAGATAAAATCGATAGAACTCGATAATGGGATAAAAAGGTATTATTAAAAGAATCAATGATGAAACTTATGAAACTTAGACAATTAAATAATTTAAACAAAAAACATAAACTATAAACGATATTAATAAAAATAATAATAAGAAGAAGAAGAAGAAGAAAATTGTTTTTTCCACGAAAAAACAACAAGCCACAGACCATCAATCGTTTAAATACTCTTAATGAAATAAATCACGTAGATAATAGGTAACCGAAATTGTGGTTTCTACGTAGTTGCCGTTATTTCTCGACAAGAAGTAAACGAGATTGATATAACAGATAGGTAAAATTAAAGAGAAAGAGAGAGAGAGAGAAAAAGGAACGAGATTTGCAGAGGAAAGATGAAAATTGTCCAAGTCCCGGAGTGTGTGATCGTTAATTATGCGGCTATCGACCACGACGCCTACCGTACTCCTCTCCAGCCGTGTACACTGTCCCATCATCGGCAATCCACTGATCCACCTGAACGAACTCCGACACGAAACTCGGTATTTTGCATTTCATGATCGCACTGTTTGCTCTGATCACATACTCGTTCTCAGCCTCGGTGACAAAAAACTGCGAAACGACTGCCCGCGCGGGCATTGCCAGGACATTGTTAGGCAAACAGGTAAATTAAAAAACAATAGTTCGAAATAATATAATAAACAATGTGCTGTTTAGTTAAAAACAAATTTTTTTCATTGATTTTTCGGTTAGCTTGGATTAATCACAAACGAATGCCAGGTTTTCTTCAAGACCAATCGATACATCTTTTTGCAAATTCGAAACAATTGAATAATATTTTTTAAACAATAACGTTAATAAATGTTTTGAAAAAAACAAAACGCGTTAAACACATGGTCGGATGATATAAAACGATTTATAAACAAATAAAAATATTAAACACTCAATAATTTTATAAGAAGATATAAGAAACGAATTCGGGCGAATGTATCGATTAGTCGATGAAGAAATGAAAGAGGAGACACGCCTCTAGTACCCTGCCCAACAGCAGGATCCTCCGGAATGTAGACCTCTCCGTCCTCTCTTATCCATGCCTCAACGGTAACGAATTCAGCGATGTAACTCGGGATGCTGCATTTCAAGATCGCGCTGTTACCCCTTATTACATACTCCGTCAGGATTTCCGGTTGGTAAGGTTGCGCGACGACTGTACGAACATACACACACCAGATATTCCTGATCATGATTAATATATTCAAATCTAATATTAAGCTCCGTTCTAGTCCAATTTAATCCGGATTTGCTGAGAGATCGTTGTCACTTTATTTGTGACTCAAGTTGATATCAAATTAATCTACTTAAATCGGGATAAATCGATGAAATATCTATAATATAATAAACAAAGTAGAAACAAACAAGAAATAAAACGTAATTTCTAAAAGAAGTTTCTGAGAGAAAATAGGTTAAAGTCATGAAAAATTTCGTTAATTTTAATACCACGGTACAATTGTACAGCGTGAGAATGATCGTATAGTTCATCAACCCTCAACTTACACATACGAATGTAACGTACGTGTCAACTGCCACCGCCGTGTGCCATCAGGAGACACCGAGAGTCGGCGCGCGAGCGGAAACGAATCGTTTACCACGTGCTACTTTGTACATGTTCAACTACGACGTATGACGCGACGTGCTATGAGGGAACGCGCCGATGCCAAAAGGGCGTCGAGGACTCTGAGGGAAATGAAATTTTTCGACGAGGAAGAAGGGACTAAAAAGAGAAAAATCGAGGGGTAAACTCGTCTTTTTATATGTGTAGATGTGTAAATGTCTATATGTGTGTAAGATTGTATGTCTGTGTGAATACAGATGCATTGCTATGAATGTGTACCATAATCATTAGACGGTCTGAAGGTCGAGCCATCACTTCCCACCCACGATTCAACCGAGACGAATTCAGCAACGAAGCTCGGTATGGTGCACTTCAAGATGGCTGCATTTCCCCTTATCACATATTCCGATACTACCTCTGCCTCGTAATACTGAGTCACAACTAAGGAAAGAAATGACTACTAGAAAAACTCTTGAAATTCCATTGACTACTTCGTCTCACTGAAACTTGATTCATTCGTTGAATGAGTATACTACAAGTGTACGATCCGAAAAGGATCGTACGGTGATTAGCGGTATTCGAAATTCGCGCGCATCCACTTCCATCGATTGGGATTCTAGATCGATACTCATTGCGAGCATCGATCAACTGTTAGTAACTATCGAAGCGTTGCTCTAGCWACCCCCACCTCTCGCATCCCCACTTCTCATCGCCCTAGTACGTACGTCCTGCTGTGACCGTACAAAGGGGCATTCTTTCTATTCTTCACCGGACGCCTACGACTACACATCTTGAGGGATTATAGAGGCTTAGGAATTCACAAAGGACAACGAAGAGAATATCCTCATCTTCAAGACTCGTGAAAGTGAGCCTATTCAACATCACAACCCTTAAGGTTGTGATCGCTATATTTGCGGAGTGCGAGAGGTGAGATCTTTCCAATATATATATATTTCACATCGACGGTATTCTCCCTCGTGGTACGCCACGTGGTGTATTCTTATTGTATAATCAAGTAACATCCAGGGTTTTTATGCCGCAAGGCTTTTCCCTGACGAGCCAATAAAAAAGGCATTGTTTCTTTGGTTGGCTCAACCACGTGTTTTATTTTACACCTTAACCTAACCCTTTATTCTCCACTTCATAGCATAAACAAATTGCCAGAGGACTCTTAATTGAGGAATTTCGGCCATAACAACAAGCTTCTTACCATTCTACAATATACAGTGGCGTATCGCATGATGATTCAGATACTACAAATACTTCTATTATAAAAACGATTAAAATACTCCAATAATTTTCGTTATATAACAAAAGTATATAATCTTTATAATTATATATAATAAAAAAATTAAGTAATAATTTATGGTAATACGCTACTGCTTTTCTCACAATCTCTATAATAGACCATGAAATAATAATAGTCATCGAATCTCTCCTATCAACCTAGCGAGTCTTAGTTTACACGTAACATTTCGCTTACATGTAATCAAATATTTTATTAGTCATCCATGAAACAAAATTCTCTTATGGAATTATTTTTATCGCGCACGTTCGACGTTGACCGCTCGCGAAATACAACACTGCCTGCAACGTCCAGATGTAATGTAAAATATTCAGAGATAAAGAAATTCGTCTCCCCTAATCAAACTTCTCCCTCCTACCATTTCCTTCCTCCGGATTAAACGAATTTCCTTGGTCATCCTGCCAACCGACTACTTGAACGAATTCCGCCACAAAGCTCGGTATACTGCACTTGAGAATCGCCGCATTGCCGCGAATAACGTACTCGTTGTTGACTTCTGACTGATAATACTGATGCACCACTGTAATAAATGATGACAATGAATTCCCGTGGCCGTTTCTAAAAGGACGACACTATTGCTCATTCGACTCACTCTTCTCTCTCTCCTATCACTCGCAAGCATCGAATAATCTTCACGCACGCGATCAAATACACCGTTTCGCAAATAAGTGGAAAATTAAGATAAAATCAAGAGAGAAATTACTTCTATACTTGAAGTCATTTTCTAAATCGCTAAATAACTTCCTGTTGTCAAAATTTAATTCTTATCAAAATTTGTTAACCTCAATTAAAATGTATTAAATTCATAAATGTATATGGTTTACAAAATGACATAAAACATATTAATGAATTTAACAAATTTATTTAAACAGATATCATAAAAAGATTTATGATAATGTTATTTTTACTATTTTTCTTTTTTCTTAATATTGACTGAATTTAATATTTATTGAATATTGATATGAATTTCCTAAGAATTTCTTTAAAAAAAAAAAAGAAAAAAGAAATGATTCTTGAAGCGTATAAAACTGTTTTCAAAAATTTTATATATATATATATATATCGACAACCACGGCAAAAAACGTAATTTATATCACGATTCATCGGAGGTAGACGACTGGAAGAAAATTCGTCGACGTTGACGAGAGCCATGAGGGTGAGATTACATCGGCTGTTCGAGAGCAGATCGATTCGCATTGTCGCATCTTACACCGCAGTCGCAGCAGCAGCCTAACACGCAAGACTGCACGAAGCTACACGAAGCTGCACGTAAGGGATATGTTTTATCATCGGACGACGAACCCTAAGGGATTCATACATTAAAAAGAAAGATAGATACATAGAAATAGGTAGATAGATCTAGATATATATCTAACAATAAGTACATATATAGAAAGATAAAAGGGGAATGGAACAGATGTCGTCAACGCGCTCCAATTATTTTAGAGTGATGAATATGAACCGAGAACAACGTTAATGAAAGGAATTACGGATTCGTGTGTGTTCACGAACTCAACATATTACTTTGTAATACTCATAAAAATAGAAAAAAAATCTTCTCCAAATCGATAAAATCGAATACTATAGTCTCGAAATTACAAATTGCAATATAAAATTTCTTAAACGTATTTTAAATCATAATGGACAGGCTGTTTCCTTACTGAATGATTTTCATTTAATGACTCATACGCAGATAATTTGAAAAAACGATAGTAAAAAAAACGATAGAAAGTGCGAAGATGCTCGATCTGCTCAAAAAAAGGATGCTGGTTTAGTATAGTATAATGTGTTTATAAATAGATAGATAGCGAATTCGTTCGTTTGTTCGATATGCACAAGTCTAACATGAAATAAACTAATTGTAAATAAAATACCAAAGTCATTGCCCGGCACGAATTCCTCTCCCTGATCGGTATGCCATGAAAGAACCTTTACGAAATCAGCGACGAAAGAAGGCACGACACATTTCAATATAGCGCTGTTCCCACGGATAGCATATTCCTTGTTCACATCAGTATCGTAATATTGCGCCACCACTATTTTCGGATATTTTTTTCATATAGGAAGAAGGAAATTAGAAAAAAAGAAATAACAATTTTCAATGATTAATATAAATAATTAAAAAGATGTACTCCCGCTCATCTCTACATTTCCTAACATTACAACAATATTTTATTATTACATTTTTGTATTTCAATCAAACTTGTTTCTGCCTTCTATTGAAACAAACGACCACTTCTAACAAAACTAGACTTGTTACAAAATATAATATACTAAAACAAAAATCCGCGTATTTTCAGCACTTCTCGTTAAAAGCTTCACGAACAACAAGCACGTGTTACATATACACTCGTTATCTCTCAACGATACTAATGACGTTCAATACTCTTACGCGAGAATACCGTAGACGAAAAAAAAACAGAGAGAGAGAGAGAGAGATTAACGAGGCTCAAATGAAAGCGTAGGAGAGTATATGCCGCTCATTATTCGTTCGTTACACGATCGAGGAATAATTTGTTCCCCCTCTTCTTCTTCTTCTTCTCCTTCTTCATATTCTTCTTCTTCTTCCATTTGTTTGTTTCAACGTAATCCAGAAATCCGGTTAAAAAAACTCACTTGCGAGATAAGTACATTTCTTTATACGATCGCGGAAGAAAAACGTAGACGGTGAAAGAGAAACGCACAAAAATAACTTCGATCGATAGCAAAGCGAGTCACGAAGCTGCCGGTAACGTCATCAAAATGAATCACTAAACAAGCCCCTCCTCTCTTGCTCTCCCTTTCTCTTTCATGACTCGAGATACTTTGTAAACGAAGTTTATTTGAATTTATATATCGAAATTAGAGTGAGACACGGAAAGATATAAAAACAAAAAAAAAAGAGAAAGAGAAAAGAGACAGAAGAGTCATTGTGTGAACACGCGTTTCACACATAAAATGCGACGGCGGCGGCAGCGATCTTTATTCCTCTGTAATTAAACGCGTAAAAGAGATCCAAGTTTCCTGCGTCTTAATCCCTTCTTTCCCCAACTGGATAATTGTTTACAAAGTCTACCTAATTGACAACGACGACGCGTTAGTGGCTTTCAAGTACACGATAAATTAGTACTTGACCTTCGAAGATGTTTGCTTTCTTTATAATTTTGCTGAAAAAAAGTCTCACATTAAAGCGTTTGGCCATCTTTCTAGATTTGTAATATAATATAATTATATAATAATTAATATATAATAAGTACATAATAAAATAAATATTATCATTCAAGTATTAGTTAAATCAATAATGTATAATTTGTTGAATTGAAATTTTGAATATTCGGGATAGTAAATGTTTTTATTTGTTGAAATTAAATTAAGTGAAAATTTGATAAATTTTACGAAAAAGAATATTACTGACCATAAGAACATCAAATTTAATGAAATTTTATTATGATAAATCTTTTCTATTTTTTTTTCTAAAAATTTTAACAGATGGCCAAACAACAGAAGAACCTATATCGTACAGGTATAGTATTCGGGATGGAAGGCACTTACCGGCTCTTACATTAACATCTCGGCTGTGAACTGAACCGGCTGGAGAACGTGCGAGACAGCTGTAAACCTGAGCATGAACCTCTTGACGATAATCCTCGGCGCGGAAAGGAGGGAAGACCAAATTTCCGTTCGGTAGGACCTGCAGCACGCACAAACAGAAGAATGAGCTGTCGAGTATGTACGTTCCAAGATTTTGATCTCGAGTATATAAGAAGTACTCTATTTTATATAAAAACTATTTCTCTTTATGTTAATATGTACGCGTATATGAAAGTACTATATATGTAGCAAAGAAGTCAACAATCTTACGGTCGATTAGATAAAAATGGCAGTAAGTAGGCTTCATTACCCATGAAAGTAAGTATTATATGTTAGGGTCGATTAATATTTTACACCGTATAAGAATAAGGCAAAACAATGGAAGTAACGAAGTGGAAATAATTGGATAACACAATAAACAACTAAAGCGTACAAATACAAGAGAAATTCTTGAATGTTTGTCACGGTTATATATTCGCGAATAATTTATCGTTATCACAATAACAAAATTACTTGAAAAGAAAAAATTAATGGAAGCTACCTGTCTCAATCCAGGAACATCTCCAACAGCAGTACCATCACCACGAACCCAGATAATGTCCGGTTGGGGATTTCCTCTAGCTCGGCATTCAACTTCAGCTCCAGTTCCATTTGAGAAGTCGACTCTGTTTGGTGGTTCCTTAACGAAAACGGGTCCCATAGATTCATCTTCAGCGGTAGTAACTGAAATAAAAAGCCATCCATCTTCATTGACTCATCTTCTCAATGATATAATAACTGTCGTCGTGAAATGGTCTGACCTAGTATACAATAACACGAGATATCGTTGCAATTCTTAACGCGAAGATCTTGCCGCAATTTCCTCATTAACGGTGAATTGATCGATGATCTAAATCACATTTTTAGCAGAAATACCTCAATTACAAAGTAGCAAATTGAAATAATATTCTATTTCTTTTCTATTAGATTATTTTTATAAATTACTTATCCTATCGTATGACGAATCTAGAAAAGATCGAGAATATCTAAGTATAATAATCTATTTATGAAATATGACATTTCGATTAAATGCCAAAATAAGAAGTAATCCTAGCAGTTCGTGGATTTCCTTTTCCTTATCATTCGTTTCCTCTGGGATACGCTTCGTGTATCCCTAGACGCATGCGCATACACCAGACTGGCGTGTCGCCAATTACGGCAAACAACAGGTTGCCGGTCTCCTATTGAATAATATGCTGTCAACGTCATATATCCATAAAGAAGATATGCAATGCGTGATTCCTTTTCCGCTGTACCTAACTTGCATTTATCGCAAAACTCGAGAGCGGAAAGAGTTTTAAATCGATAATGAAACACAAATGATAATGTTTCTAAGAAGGATAATTCATCGATCTAGAAACTTTTCTTATTCGTTAGCGATTCATTTACGATTGAACAAAATTATACCCAAAAAAATTAATACTAAAATATATATATATATATATATATATATATATATTTACGATCGTAATTCGAAATTTTGTTCACGTAATGAAATGTGACGCGATTCACTCATTTTCTACCTGAATTTACCAAAAAATTTATTTTTCAAACTTCTCGTGCACTCGTATCTACATGAAAGAACGAAAACACATGAGCGAAAATTGTTTTTACGTTATAACTGTAGTTATACTATTTATACAAAATCGAGTTACGAAGAACCGGTCCGTAAGGCTTACAGCATCGAAGGTATCGAAATAACGACAGGAGGTACACGCAGGTATACGAAACAGGTGCTACAGATTTTTCACCTTCGGAGCTTTACGCTTTCCGAACAATCATCAGCCAAGCAAACCACGAACACGTTTTCCGTTCTCTCCGTTCCGTTGAAAGGAACTTATCACTGCTACTGATCTTACATCGCAGAGATAGCAAACGTTCGAACCAGTAAAAGGAATTTTAATTGCACAAGATATCGATACAATTTCATTGAGAATAACACTAGATGATAAAATATTACGCTTTTTCTCGTCGCATAAAAACAAAATTATCACAACACGTATTATAAAAATTATTCAAGAAAACTTGTATATATCTTTAGATAATGCGTATTAATTTATTATTCATTTCTGTGTATATATTTAAAAAAAAAAAAAAAACTTATTTAACATTTCAAACATCGTTTGAAAGAATATTTGTTTAGATCTTTTTTTTATCAAATTGACTTAATTTTCATTTCTTTAATATTTTATTTATTCAATATTAGGTAAATATAGATATACATTTTGAAAAATATCTATACGAAACAATGATTACAATTTCTGCAAGCATAGAATGAATATCCCGATTGAAAAATTATTTCGATATCTTCAACAGTTAATTATTCTAAGAACAAAGATAATATAATAATGATGCGTTTGAAATGAGATGTCCTAGTTGATGGAGGATATTGAAATAATTAACGAATTATTAATCGATACTAAAATACTATTAACCTAAATGACCTGTGAATCTTTTAACCCATCAATGACGACAACGTAAAAGGTTCACCAGTGCGTTAACACGCTAAACCATTCATAAACCACAAGTGTTTCCCTCGTGCGTTAAACTTTATCGGATCAATATATATTATTATAACGAGCTTATGTAAAACATGCACTCATAGTTCTAACCAAGCAAGAAGAATATACAGAGGAAAATGGCATTTGCTGTGGTCTACGCATGAACGAGAAAGACCTATTACCGTTCTTCTATTCTATCTTTTTTCTTTTCATTTTCTTCTCTCTTCTAATCTCCTTCTTCTTCTCCTTCTTCTTCTCTACATATGTCTTCTTAGAATTTTTATGTTCAAACTAACATGCTCGCACACGTATCCATCGACAATAAAAAGCAGGGGTTCTTCGCGGTCGACAACCGCTCTGTAATCTATATATATATATATATATGTATATATCTATAAAGAGAAGGAAAGAGAGAGAGAGAGAGAGAGAAGCTTTCAAGCGTCCGGACACGCTGCTTCGTATATATATTTCTAACTATACATACACACCCACACATTCGCGAATGAACACGCACGAATCTCTAGTGTAAAGCACCCCACGTGTGAAGTATGTACACGTACACATATGCAATACAATACATATATATATACACCCGCGCATAAAAGATATACGAGAAATCGAGAGTTGAATAATAATAAGACGACGTTTTAAGACGATCGACCGTTGAACGACGATAAAGAACAATGACTATCGATCAATGATCACATTTGGTTGGACTGATCCGGAAGATCTTCCTACATACAATACTTTATCTAAATGTTTATATTATTTTATTAATATAAAATGAATATATATATATATATATATAATATATATATATATATAATATATATATAATAATATGAATATATATATATATATATATATATATATATATATATATATATATATAATATGTTTCATATAACGGGTTGAATTATTTCAAATAGGAAGTACAAATGTTTCAATTAATTTTTATGATAGAAAGTATTTTTTAAAGAATCATATGTTTTAATTTAAAAAATTGATACAATGAGAATGAAAACTATTTTTTGAAGATAGTATTTTTTAAGATATTGATAATCAAATATAAAAGTATGTACAAAATAGCTAAAGACAATTTTAAAATATCCTTTCATCTTTTTTATTACGATCACTGTGAACACAAAGACTATATCTTGATATTTAAAAATATTGCAAATCTATTTATGCTATAGTTTGAATATTCTATTGTTTCTAATTTTATATCCTATTAGTAAGATCAATTTATGTTAATGATTAACGTTTAACGTTCAATCCTCATTAAAAATAGTATCATTTTATCAAAACATTGTATATCAACCATGTATAATATTCATAAATATAGAGTACACCTAGGACAATCTACAATTTGCACAATATTAATAGTAATCGTACAATTAATAAATTTACGGACGATATAATGAATAAAAATAAAAACTACATAAATTAAAGATATTTATCATGGAATGCTAAATGATGTTACATTAATCATCTTTGTCTGAAATATTCCTTGCTTAAGACAATATCGCCCACGTGATTTAAAAAAATAATTCACTCAACTTTCCTATGCAATCGTATTACTAATGCAAGACCAAATGGTAGAAAGGTTAGTAAACGCACACTGCGTGGGTAGAAGCCTTAAGAAATTCCTAAATCCGGGGTGTATCGGTTTGTAGACGTGTTAGGTAACGTTCCTTTTTAGCTATTCTCGCCTATTTCTAGCCACGTTTATGTTCTTTAACGTTACACAGCGAATATACTTGTCATTACTCTACTATATAAGTTAACTGCTTCCATGATGTTGATTAAAAAATGAACAAATTTTATAGACTCAGAAAAAAAGAAAATAACTATCATAAAAACGAAGATATAACAGGCCTTCATATTTGATCTTTATATGCGAAACATCCCCTTTGTTCAGAACAAAAGAAAATATATATATAAAACTTGATCTTCGTGAGCCATAACTATTTTTAATATACGAATATATAAATAATCAAATATAAAAATAAAATTATTATTATATTTATACGACAAATCATTCTTTTGTTGCATATTTCAATTAAAATACTGTAAACATTTTTTAATGAATCTCAGAAATATTCGAACAAAATAATAAATAAGATAAGTATCACACTAAATCTTTTACTATCAAACAATGATTATTATCACACTAAATGTGTTAAGAACAGCTTGACACTAAAAAATAGAGTAATTCTGTAGAAAAACCAAGAGACCATTTCGCATTCTTGTTCTCATTTCATGAACAGATAAATCTATCATCAAAGTAAGTTCAATGATACTAGTAGTAAACGTCTGTAAACTTAAGACGGATCCACCTGGTCGGTAAGAAAAAAAGAAAGAAAGAGTGAAGAAGGTGAGAGAGAAAGAAAGAGTAGTCCAGGATAAAATGGAATCTCTGAAAGCAAAAAAGAGAGATAAGCTTCCATTCTGGGAACAGCAGCTGTTCCTTTCCTTCGGTTTTCTCTCCCCGCCCTTTTTCGAGCTCTTTCCTTCAGCAGCTGCACTCTGTTCCTCTACCTACGCTTCTCGAACCTTTCACAACGGCTGGTTGGCCGAGCAACGACGAACCTCCTATAAGATTCAGAAGAGAACACAAGATCATCCCGACAAGGACAGAGCATCTTGGTTTCGCCACAGCAAACCACAAGGACGGATATCGTGAGAGACTTTTATAATAATATCATATTGATACCGAACATCGTGGGACTCTTTTCCAAGCTGAAAAAGCAAAAATATTGTTGTTCGTACGACCTTATACACGCGAATTCCTTTGTAAACGTCATTCATAAAATAAGGAACGCTAATACACCTGACAGGATGAAAGTTATAACTTATATAATATGTATACAGTTAAATCAACTTCGAAAGTAGGTATTGTAGAATAAATTATTTTTTAAGAATTTTTCAGTACAATTTCATCAGTTTATTCTATCGAAATAAATGTCATATAAACGTATAGATTTATAAAAACTTTATTACAATATTTAATTGGAAAAATATAAAACACGAAAGAAACTTAATGGACTTGTTCTTACAATTAGTATGATACATAGATAACGATAAATTCAATAATTTATTTTCTTCCTTTTACTTATAAAATGTTCTAATAGAATCTAGTTAGAAAATCCTAAAACACTATATTTAATAATATTTTCAATATTCAAAGTTTATCTTCTTTTTTCAATAGTTTTTAATTATCATTGAAAATAATATTTCTTTATTCAATTAACATTATTAATAACAATAATAATAATAATAATAATAATAATAATAATAATAATAATAATAACAATAAATAATAATATATCAAAGATCTTTCCATATTCGTTACACGTTGAATCAGTTCTACAATGAAACATAGTTCATAATCATTCTAACGAAGCTTTCCGTGTTTCGAAACAGGGAGTAAGGTATCTCCATGACATTTAATCCTTTTATGCTAGGGTACGTAACGATCTTTGACTCAACTAAAACTTGCTTTCGCTTATCGTTAAAGTACTATAGTGCCTATTAAAGAAAGAAACAAGTAGAAATTAGATAGAGTAATTAGACGTCTTATAAATCGTGACCGTGAAAAAAATCAAGTTAAGATCAAACATGGTTAACCGTCGACTTATGTGAATTTAAAGACATCATAAGAGTAGATATTAACCCTTTAGAGTTTTATACGACTTTGAAGTCACATATCAACGTATAAACATTTTCATTAAATCTTATTTTGCTAACCAATAAAAGATTCTTTATATAGCAATTATCAACTCTAGCTTGAAATATCAGAGTTTATTTAGTATCTTTAAAAATTATTTTTCAATTTGTATTTACTATTTGTTGATAATAAATTATATAGATATTTTTAATCGTATAGTAAATTGAAACTATAAAGGGTTAAAAAAATAACTAATTCAAATGAAATTCTAAAAAGTCAACTTACCATGAGTCAATGCCAGTAAAGCCAGTAAAATCATTGTAAAGATGTAGGTAGGTGCTTTACACCCCCCTCCTGGAGGTTCACGCCACATCCTGATCGCACTGATTTTCACCTATATCGTACACAAAACACACGTCTCAAACGATTTTGCACCTTTTCTTCGACTTTTTTTTGTGACAATCGCACCACCCGTCTGGACTGGACTGTTTCAGATACTCTCCAGTCTTCGATGGAAGACTTCCATTGTACACTTCAAGACTTTACGTTATTATCGATCGCGAAGAAAACGTCTAAGCTCAATAGAAATCATTAAAAAGTTATGAAGAGCATAATTAAAAAAGCAATTAAAACGATTTAAACTAAGTATGCATAAGCATGTAGAAGAAAGTACAATAAAATATTTATTTTAATCTTGAAGATAAGAATTCGATCTAAAATAAATATGAATTATCTGCGATAATCGGTCGTACTTCACGAATTTGCATATATTCCTACGCTTATATACGACCAATAATATCTTCAAATATGTATTTCAAATAATATTCAACACAGCATAAAAAGCTAATGTTTTATGTATTTAACAAATATCTATAAGTGATAATTGGCAAACAAGCATTAAAAAATTAATAATAAAAATAAATAGACGAAAATCTCTTCTCTGCTATTCATAGAAATTTCTGATTAAATAAATAAAATTAAAAAATTTCAAATAATCGATATTGTTTATAGAACAAGGAAAATATAAATTGATAACTTGAGTATTGACTAATTAAAAAATTTTTCAAAAGATCGTGTCTGCATAACGTCAGCATTTCTTTCAAATTGTGCCTGAATCGTTCGATTCGATTTCGCATCACTAAAATTAAAATCATCGTTAAGGCGAAGTAAAAGGTCTGACGATTTTTGAAAGACATGGTATCTCGCATCGTACACGTGCTGAATCTCTGATGGGCTGAAAGGGTCGCCGTTAGACAGCGATGGCGGTCGTAGAAACTGAGAAAGAAGTGACAAGTGAGATAGAGAGGGGGTGGTGAAGAGAATGAGGTAAAAGACAAGTAAACCCCCTCTGAGAGGGAGGAAAAGGAAAGAAGGGGAAGAGAAGCACACGGAGGAGAGAGATGCTCCCTCTCTCGCTGGGTTTATTGATCGCAGGGTGCGGAACGGACCGAGCTACCCTTCGTGCAACCGTACGCCATGCTTGATGGTATTTGCTCCAACGAGGTAGTTTACTCGTTTACCCACAGCTTCTCCTCCATTCTTCTCTGTTCTCACTTATTCAAAATTTTGATGGATTATAAATCAAATTTAAAAGAAGGGAAAGCTTGGTGACAACAACAAATTAAATAGTTAACAGATATTGCAGTTAAGATTTGTACGATGCGTGATTGAACAAAGATGACGATGACCATGACGATAACGATCACGATCACGTTTTAGCTACGATGATGTCACTATCCTCAGGACGATACGATCCGTCATCTTGAAAGAAACGTGTTAACCAGCCAAGCGAGACAAACATGCTGATAATAAAAAGCGTGGCTTTGTCATGCTGTAAATCATAGTCGTCCCAATCTCTCTCTCTTTTTCTAATGATTCTATCTTTTTCGTAGAGAAAAGAATAAAGAAAGTGAGCCCGAGAAAATCTGGAGTAAGAGACGGGACAGAAAAGAAGAAAAAAAAGAAAAAAAAGGTAAAAAGATCGTTGAAAGGGAGTCGCTCTTGGTGGTAACCAAGGCAACGCACAAAGCGTAGCAAGTGTAAGCTCGTGGCGAACAAATTTTGAACAAATGATTTTAAAATGTTCTAATATATTTCCTCTAGTGAAAGAATATAAAGATCATTTTAAAAATTCATATAAAAAAGAAAAAGACGATCATGGGAAATAAAAGTCACGCGTTTTGATTTCTTTGAATACTCAAATAAAGACGATGCCACTGAGATTCTGTCCTTTTTAGGGATAAACCGCAGCTGAACCAGTTAAGTCCAAGCAAAGGCTGTAGTACGATTGTCACAATTCGATGATTTTCGGATGATGATCACTCGCGAATGGAACATCCACGATGGATAATCACGTGCACGCGCACACACCCACAGGAGAGAAGGATGAGATTATCCTTGAAAGATACTCTCACGCTCTCTTTCTTTCTTTCTTTCTTTCTTTCTTTCTTTCTTTCTATCTTTCAATCCTTTTTTCCCTTTCTTTTCCCCCATCAAAGTGGCGGAAATATATCGAAGCACGATCATGATAAAAAAAAATTACTTAAAGATATTTATGTCTCGAATTTTCTCGAAGAATCACGTCATTAACGAGAAAACTTACGTACCGAAAATGACAGCAGGGCTTACAGATGCGCGTCGATCGTAAACGAACGTAACGAAGATCGCGTAGTTTCTTCGACCGTAGACGACCGAAGAATGTGAGCCGGTGAACGGCGTCACTCGCCTCGACGGTGCTGCTACGCTACCACCACTTCAGTTCTGCACGCCTTGTGGGAGGGAAGGGGAGGCACTGAACTCACACGACTGGATGCTGGAGGATGAGGGGAAAAGCGCCGGTTTGCTTCCTCGAGCATGTAGGAAACAGTCAATGCTCCAAATGTATATATATTCCTATATTGTAACATATATTCTCTATATTACAGACACGAATATTGACAAAGTAGATATACAAAAATATATGAAACGTTACTTAACATTTGGGATGTATTAACAACTTATCCTCTTTCTGATAAGATTACTTAATTAATATTAATAATTTGTATATACAGTTTCATAAAAGAGTGCATATAGTTTTACAAAAAATTATTTGAAAATATTTATAAATGATTTATATATATACTGTATATATACGTGCGCTATTAAGTACAAAATAATTAAACTATACACTTATGCAAATATATTACGAACGTTTATACATGCAAAAACATATGCAAAGAAACCTTTACGTAGAAACAAAATATGCACAGAACATGATAAACAAACTTACTTAATCGAACTTTATCATGCACTTAGAATTAGTTTACCGTTACTTCTTATAATGCATTGTATGAATATTAGCTATTAAATGTTGATTAATTATGTGGATAATGTAGACATGAACTAATCGCTGGATAAATAACGAACTATTTTATAATTTACATAGAATGTTTTTTCCAAGAATACGTTACATAGCTATTTTATGCAAGTATAATTTACAATGTATTTAATATCTAAAACAAGAACTAGTTTAAATCAGTAAAATAATAACAATATTTTAGAATGATGAAATAACAATGTATTCGAAATTTTTGAACATAGATTAAATTACCTAAATAAATATTTATTTAATTAAAGATAGGTAAATATTTTTCGATAAATTAATGATAATTCTTAAAATAAATAATTATACAACCGAAATTAAATTTTTCAAGAAACTTATTGATAAGAAATAAAATATTTTATAATATTTGTATGATTGTATTTGAAACTTTTAGCAGGATAAAAATCAAATGTTTATTGTAAACGATTTTTATGAGTATTTAAATAGTCAACGATAATAATCATCTTTCATGTTTCTTCTATTTTCTATATTATATTTAAGGCAAAAATAGTAAAAAAAGAAAGGGCGAAAATATACAAAAATACGAACAGTAATATATATGAAAATGCGCGCGAAAAGTTTACTTAATACTTAGAAAATAAAAATGTTTTAGCAAACCATCGTTTAGGGACCCTATAAGAGGGACGCGCCATACACATTGCTAGGCTGAAAATTTGGGGGGACTGTTTCCGTTGCATCGCGCAGCCATGTTTATCTTTAGTATGTATTAACGGCTGTGGTTAGTTTAAGTTTGGAATACTTATAGTTTTTATTGTGACATTTATATTTAATTGTTTTGTTTTTTTAGTAGTTTTTTATAAGTGTAAGTTTAATTTATTCATTTAATAATTACAAGTATAAATGTACAAACCTAACCTATAACTTATCGTTTATTTACAGACTAAAATCTTTGAATCATTCGCGCGCAATCACATGACTACACCAGTTCCTTTCCCCCAGCAATGGGTATGGCGTGTCCCTCCTATAGGGTCCCTACCATCGTTTTGTTGAGTGCACCATCTTCTGAGCTCTTTGATTGGTGGATATTAATTGTAATAATATGATGCACTTCATTTAAAAAATTCTTTTTATAGTATTGTATATAATATAAATACTAACGATTATTGTGCCTCAAATTATAAAAAGAAAAGCAATTGATGTATAAATTAATAAATATTTTTTATTTCGTTTTTTCTCCTTCAGAGGTGCTACCTTCGTTTTATAAGAGAATTGGTAAAAATTCATTTTTCAATGGTCGCCGCCTTAACGATACTCCGATTGGTTTGTTTGAATGTTAGGGGTATTTAAATATGGACGTCAAATATAGTTTTCCGTTATAATATGTTGTATTTTCATTTTTTATTTCTCTTTATTTACATAAATAACGGATTGTTTATTAGGAAAATAATTTATTATATTTACAAATTATTCATACCTTTGAAAGGCCTAAAACAAACAAGTTTTATAAAAGAAAACATTTTCTTTGTCCATTAAACGATTACTATTGTAAACTAAAAATACATAAGTGCGTAAGATTCTATCTTTTTTATATTATTTTTTTATGAATGGTTATTATGGAGAAATATCAATATATGAGAGCATTTATATCAGCTGCCTTGGAATATGCAAAACATCCAAGTGAAACGACTATATCTGATATACAAAGAAATCTTGGAGTAAGATTATAATAATTATTACCTACATAAGTTTTTTTCATTTCCTGTATTTCCTATAAATTAACTTATTTCTATATATTAAACTATATTCTTTATATATTTTCTATATTCTATTATAAATGTATTCCTTAAGGTCATAAGTGCGACATTGGATCTATGCATTTTTGATCCTACAACTTCAATAGCTGCTGAATTTTATGTCAGCTTGCACGAGCTAATGAATTCTTTAGGATCTAGAACAACATTAATTTGGAGTACTGTAGATGTTCTACAGAATGCTTGTCGAAATACAAATGCCAGACAAGCTCTTATTCATACTTATAAATTTGCTCCTATATTGGCACGATTATTGGAGGTAAATGCCAGAAATATATGCATAAGATATTTGACGAACCTTCTAATTTTAACTATCTTCTTAGGCTAACTTGACAAGTGAAAAAAGAATACGTGTTTTGAAACTTCTACAAGAATTAACTTATGGTGTCAAAATTTCTTGGCAAGAGGCACATTTACCATATTTAATATCCATTTTAACTCAATGGGTAATGCAAGTGAAAGAGGAAGAAATTATTGCCCTTTCTTTAGGTGTACTTGTAAATCTTTGTTACAAAAATCTTGCAGCAGTTTATACATTAATGCGCACCATTGATACCAAAACATTCATACGAACGTTATTAAGGATTCAAAGCAATAATGTTAGTACAAGCGTTCCGTGTTGTAAACTTTTGATTATACTTGAAGATACTAATACAAATATATCAGAAAAACATATATTGGATTTTGCTGCTGTTACATTTACAAGTTTAATAAGTGCTCTTAAACAAAAAGATGTATTATTGCTAAGACATATTATTGATTTCTTTGAGGATGTTGGACAGAATGAGCATTCACGAACTATACTACTTACGTATGCAAAGTAAGCATTACAAACAAAATACTCTAATGATTTTTGTCTTTTTTATTAACTTTGTTAATTTGTTCTTAGTTATAATAGAGATGTAGAACAATTATTGGCTACTTTAGAATGTGATTCTGATCCAGACTGTGTAGCACTCTTAATGGAATTTTTATTAGCATTAGTAAAATTAAAAGTATCTGCTTTGATTCCATTATACCCAGTATGTGTAAAATCAGCTATGACATGGGTACCTGTAGAGCAAGTATGTATCTTTCTTTTATTTATTTCTTTTTCTATCAATCTACATTTATTTCTCTTTCTTTTCATTTGTAGGTATGTTCTAAGGCACTAGCACTCATTAGAATAATAGTGATTGAATCACGCCGTACAAAGAATTGTACAGAAGTTCTTACCGAACTAGATCCATCTGTTCTTATGCTTATAACTAGCACAGAAAATGATGAAATGCAAGAAAAAAATGAACTTCAAAATACTGACACACAAGGAAGACTTGCTGAATTGATGCAATTATTTCAAGAAATGGTGAAAATTTCAGGACTTCGTTCAAAAGTGTTAAAGACATTTAGTGAACAAGCAATGCGTAAACTGTTAAAACCAATATTGGAATATGAAGAAACTACAAATCGGGATTGGCCTGGAAATCTTATTCAAGTACAGTAACATTGCAAGTTTCCATCATAATTAAAATTCAATCTAATTTAAAGCTTGTCACAGATTGTTTATTTAAAATATAAATGACTCTTGTTTAAATTCTTGTAGAATTCTACAACAAATCTTTATATACATGCCTTAGTTTTAACAGCAGATTTGGCAGCTAATAATTCTAATTGGTTAACATTATATTCTGAATTACTTCGGAAAAAACAAATACAAATGATAATGGCATTAGCATTATTCACGGGTGATGGAGAAATTAAGCACAAAGTTTTACAATTAACATCATCTGTAGGTTTTCCACAGGAATGGTAAGTTAAATCCAAACTTATATACATATATCATTACATACATACGCATATACATATATACATTTAAATATATGTATTTAAATATTTTTCTTTTAATCAGCGTTGCTGCAGTAGCACAATGTATGAGACAATTAGAGCCGTTAGTTTTGGTACAAAGCAATGCTAATACTGTAACTGGACTGGGAATAAAAACTAATATTAATTGTAATGGAAATGATATGGCTCCATTATTTTCATTTAGTCAAGAGGAACGTCTTAACACTTTTATAAGCAGACTAGAAACAGCTATTGAATCTAATCAAATAGGTGATATTACAACTTCAGCTGTAATGGAACTGTACGAATACAAAGTAATATTTGCATTCTTTCCTGTAACATAAAATATAATGAACTAAGATCTACATTTATATCTCTGTTTTAGAGCTCAGCTTGCCAATATTACACTACAGTTTTTCTTCATCTAATTATGCTTACTATATATTATAATATATAGATATTTCATTTATTTACTTTCATAATAACTCTAAAGCAGTGATATGAATGTATATTATATGAAAAGATAATATATAATCATATAAAATTATAATTTATAATAGTTAGCAGCTATGAGACACGCAGAAAGAGCCATGCAGTCTAGCTTAGAAGCTGCAAACAATCATGCCACTAGTTTGCAACATAGACTGGCTCAAGTAATAGCAGAATCTAGTCGCTTACATCAAATGTTATTCGACACTCAGCAATGTTTAGAGGGTATAAAAGCCGAGAAAGTTACATTAGCAATTAAATTTAATGAAGTTGAAAGTCAAATGAAGAAAACACTTTCTACTAAAACACAAGTAAATTCAAATCTTCTATAAATTTAAATAATATAATTGTATGAGGCGTATATATCTATAAAGGAAGAAAAATATTTATATAAATAATTATGATAATTTTTTTTATAGGAAATTGATGGATTAAAAAAAATCGTAACAGAAAAATCTGCAAATATCGATCAATTGAATAAAACATTAATAGAACGTGTAAAAGAAGCAGAAATTTGTATGAACAAAATCGATACATTAAATAAAAAAGTAGTAGAATTGGAGACTGCATGTTCAGTTGCAGAAACAAATGCTACAGAAATGACTAATAAAAATCATGAGTTAGGCAAACTTTTATATAAAATGCAGGATTCCATTAATAAAAAAGAACAAGTATGTAAACTTTACATGAATCATATTCAATCATTCATCATATTATATTAATAAATAATTTCTTTCTTACAGATTATAGAATTAAAAAATAGTGAAATAGAAGCTAATCAGAAAGATATATTGGCACTAAAACAAGAACTTCAACAATTAACCAAATTGACTAAGTCTTACGAACAAACTTTAGCCGAAAAAGAGCAAAATATAAAGAGAATGACTGCAGAATTAACAGACCTAAGTCGAATGAGAGATATGATTTTTGAACTTACAGCCAAAAAAAAGGATGATTTGAATGCAACCTAATAGAACAATAAAATAAAAGAATTTTATACTTCTGACCAACAATAGTATTGTTACAAATTTATTTCTTCTTTTTTTTTTTTTTGACTTTACTATGTTTATCGGATGTAGCATTACTATTTTCATTAAGAATATACGTGTAAAATACGATTTTCATATTTAATTATAGTATTTGCAATGTACTGTGCATTTAATAACGTTTCTTACACTTATAAAAACTATAGAAAAATATGAAACTAATATAGTTTGTAAAATACATATCTATTCTTAAAAAAAAAGATTAAGAATATTAAGGAAAAGTATTTGTAAATAATTATTATTACTAATATACTTTATTATAATCATGTTAAATAATCATCGATATTACAATATTAAATTCTTTTGGTAACAGAATATATATTTTTTTTTCATTTAAAAGATCAATTATGTTTTAAAAGTGAAAAAAGAGAATGAAAGGAAGCATTTAGACTAATTAAAAAATTGAATATATTTGAATTTGTTTTTCTCTGCATAATTTTATTTTAAATATTAAATAGAACAAACTTGGTTACAAAATTGTTACAAACAAAAAATATAGACCATATAACAACAACAAAATATTTACAAATTATAAATAAGAACTTATAACAATATAGAAACATGTACATTTCTGTAAAAAATAAAACAGTTTAGATAGCAGTTACATTTATATTATAAATATTACATTTGTAATTCTGTTACTGGAGTAAAGATTATTCAGTGTGTTTTGTTAAGCGAAATATAATAGTTCATAAAATTAAATTTTAATACAAAATCTAATATAGTTCGTAAAATTTAAATGTAATAAAAGAGTTTAGTGTTTGTATTTTTTTATCGATCTGACTGCCGTACGCGACGCACTGGAAACTGAATAACCAACAATTTTATAAATGCTATTATAAATATTTTCAATAAAACCCGTGCATTATTAAATTTCACTCTTTTTTGTCACCTCTCTTCTACAGATCTATTTATTATTTTCCATATGATAATACAAGTTCCAAATCTATCGCGCGTGGAGGCTACGTACATTCTTTTTTTTTATCTCTTAAAAAATCCAAGATATTGTTAAAGATACGTTATTATTAGACATAAGAAATATTGGAATATTACCAATAATTTATTGCGAATATTATTTCAATAATTTTACAATAAAATCATTCACTACTGTTTTTAAATCTTTCGATAAAACGAAATCCATGTGAGAGAAATATTTCCTTGGTACTGCTTTTAAAATCGCATTTGGTAGACTTTTGTAAAGTTTACACAAACTCTGCAAAAAATAAATGAAGATTAATTATTATTGGCAAACAAAATTTATTATATTCTAATTGTAAAATAAAAATTATAATAACCTTTTTATCTATAAAAGTATCATTTTTCCCATATATCAAAGCTACTGGGGTTGTTATTTTAGTTAAATCGTATTCTTGTAGATCATGTTGTTTATATTGTTTAAGATTATTCTCATATCCATAGTCATATTGTCGGAAACTCTCTAAAAAATATTATAATGTAAACCACGTATCAATATACTGTGGTGCATAGCAATATGTAAGTGCGCGAGATAAGTATGCAATTATACGAGATAATTTGCAATATACTCATAATGCAAATGATTGTTAGTTGGTTTATCAATTGTTATTGTTATTGTAGTTATTATATTTGTAGATAGAAAAAGAGTTACTTATACCTAAATTGATATTTTGAACGAAATGATTCATAACGTAGTGAGATCCACCCGATGGGTAATATTGATAAAATGTTTTTAAATCAGTCTATAATAATAAAAGAAAAAATACTTATTAGTTTTATTCTTTAAATATTATCAAATATAAGAATTATTTTAAAATTTACTGTGTTCAAATAGGAAGGATCTAAACCAAAAGCTGTAGATGTTACAAAAATACACAAAAATTGCAGAAATGATTCCTTCGAACAAATTAAATATAATATTTTATTAAAGAATGAATTAGGTTTTATACCATAAATTTCTTCCATTTCTAAAAATACCTGAAAAAGAAAAAACAAAATTAATTATATAATTACTAAAGTCTATTGAAGTCTATTTAAAAATAAAGTTATTTATATCTAAAAATTAAAAAAAAAAAAGAAAAAAAGGGATAACCTAACAAAGAGAGGACTATACTAATCCCAACTTATGTTAGAATTTTTTTAAAATTTTATATACTTATAGGTGCCTATTAGGACTATAGATTGCCTAGTAGTAGAGATCACACTAAAAAATCGTTTTCGAGAAAACGAGGGATGAAGTTTTACTAATATTCCTATATACGTGTAATACCAGTTTATTTCAGTTCGGTCGATTTTATTTTTTTTTAATTTTCATTTTATTTTTTACTTTCGTTATTGTAAAGCATCTTTTATTTACTTTCTTTTTTTTTATCTTTTAATAGTATGTTATATTACTTTTATAGGAAATATAATGAAAAATAAAATGGTACATTTGTATTATAGAACGTGTCAAGTTTCTTCTATATTTGCGATCTTCTTTTTCTATTGAAAAATTAAAATTACTTATTACGCACACAAGTTTATTGTTTGATATTTATTATGTCTAATTTATCTTCCAATTATTAATTATGTTCCATTTATTATGTCATATTTATTATAAATTATGTATTATTTTTTATTTGTTATTTAATTTATATTATTTGCTTCCGCTGCCGACAGTTCATACAAACTGAACCAAACTGGTATGTATAGAAGAATGTTAGTAAAACTTCATCCCTAGTTTTCTTCGAAACGATTATTCAATGACCCCTACACTTAAAGTGCAATGTATAGTTCTAAGGGACACTTACAAATATATAAAATTTGAAAACAATCTGAATTGGACTTGTATATTTCTTTCCTTGTAAATGAGACAAAATAAAAATATTTCAACTTTAATTATAAAACGTAATATATGATTTATCATAGTATTTTTTATTTATATTTTTTTACCAGTATTGAAGGATAAATTCCCACTATAATTTTGATTAAAAAAGGGAACCGACTTTTCCTCAAGTAAGCAACAGGTGCTAAACTTACAAGTAATTGTACTTTTTCATTATAAATTGGTTTCATTGATAATAAAATATATGAAGCTGTAGTACCCATCGAATGACCAATTAGGTAAAGTCGTTCGGATTTCGTATAATTAAGAATATAATCAATTACTGCTGGATAATCGTAAAGTGCAATTTCATGGATGCTGTAAAAAAAAAATGTTTAATTCTTTTTTTTGTGATTCGAGAAATAAGATTAGTTCAAGTCTCATTTTGTTTTCGACAATAATAATGTCGTCTTGTCTCGGTTGTCCAGCACATATTTTCCGTGCTTACGATCTAATTATTAATAATATTAATTATGAATTATTATTTGCATTCAAATTAGAATTAATATTACTATAATCTAATAACTTATTTAATAAGGTTATTTCTCATATATTACAAAATTCGAAACCACCGCTTGTTTCAATATTGCCCGAAGTACTACCTTTTCTTTTTAAAGAACAAATAATATAATTATAATTATAATTATAATTATAATTATAATTTCAACTACAGACGAAATGAACAATAGTAATTTGTTTTGTATTTCCTTTTTCTTCATTTATATTATCCATTTGACTCCCACGCGCCGTTTTCGGAGGTGGACGCGAGGGCGGGTCCTGTCTTTAGTATATGAATTCAGAATATCATTATTAAAAAACAGAGCTTATGCGAAAGAAAAATAATGCATCCACACAGAGATCTCTGGAACGTATCAGTGGAGAGTCAACTGCACACAAAATATTAATATAAAACCGTATAACTGACCTATACTGCCAGAATTCTTTGTCTATCGTTGAAAAATTCACATGACCTTGACCGTATATATTTCCTCGAGTATTTCCAAGCCATACATCAAATCCAGCATCCGCAAGTAAATAAGCTGTTATAACAATCAATTATAATTAAATTATAAATTTATTTTATTTTAGTTAATGTTTTATGTTGTTACATCTATGTACTTGTTATAAATATTATGACTATTGGAAATATTTACCCAGACTTCTTTCAGAGTCGAACAAAATCCAAATATTGGAGCAACCAAGTGCTCCATGTAGTAACAATACTACTGGTTTTATTTCATTGGTAATGTTTGATTTTGGACTATCAAGTATTCGATGAAAAAATAAAATGTAACCGTCCTCTGTAATAGTCATGTGTTCTTCGGCGACATATCCATGCTGTTTTGATAATTCAGTCTGAAATTAATAGATTTTTCATTTGTTTATTTAAGTATTACTTATATGTATGAATTACACAAAAAGTTGATATACGTTATTATTCTAAGAACAATTAATATGCTTACGAAATGTAAAGGAATATTCCAACGTGAATTTTGTAGAAGAAATGTTTCTATTATAAAAATTGTAGCATCAAAACTGATGATTGATATTATAAAAATTATCAATAGTGAAGAATTCATTTTTTATTTTTTATTTCCTCTTTTCTTTTCTGTAAATAATCAATTTTTTATTTATCTGCCGTTTTTTTAAATTTATTTTATTTTAATTTAATCACATGCAATTGTAAGATTGTTATCATGTATTTGTTATAATTTTAATTAATTTATTTAATGTTTAGTAATGTTTAACAGGATACAATAAGATAAGGTAGAATGATGTAGTAATCTAGATTAATAATTAATTAACATGTCGTGTTTCGTGTTTCTATAAACTTCGTAATTTGTCGTCGCCTCTAGTCATACACAACACTCGTTGTTAAATATTACCATATCAAATGCGCGTCCGCTTGCACTTTTCGTCACTTTATATATTCTTCATCCCTTCTATCTTTTTTTCGTCGAAAAATTTCGGTGCTATCGTTACGTAGTAAATTACTTAATAAAAAAATTTTGTTGTTATTATTCTCTTTTTCACAAATTTTAAGAATGTTACTATACGTTCTCAACATAGATCATAATTTTTTTCAAAAGTCGTCTTTTTATTACTCTGGAGTCTAAAATTCACCTTGTTATCTATATATAAATATTAAATAATTCTAATATCTAAATATTAGAATGTTAACCATATCTAAATATTAGAGTTGTTTATGTTAATTTTTAATTAAATTAAATGCCAATTTTTTCGTTCTCCTAATCAGTTTTTTATTTTATTCAAAAAAATAATTTTTTATTTCATTAAATCTATTGTAGAGACTTTCAAAAATATGCATAAATTCATTGTTTATAAAAAATTAATTAATAAACTTCAATTTCACAACATTTGATTTCAAATTGTGTACAAATACTTTCTATACTCACTGTACTTATTTAAATTTTCAGAGAACAACGACTCACAAATGCGAGGAACTTGACATTCACGTTTCAACTGATAATATACATAAGCATTTATCCATAACAAATAGTTAAAGAAAACTCTACGAGGCTTACTTAACATTATTTCTGTGGATTAAAAGTCTCTCAAAAAAAAAATTATGTGTGCAGATCACACGTGTTAGAAGTGAAATCTTCAAAAAACTAAGTTACGAGAGAATGAAACGAATGAAGTTTTAAGAGTAAGATAATTGCAGAATTTTTTAATTATAATATTGTTACCATATATATCAAATCGGTATGATCTCTGGGTGGAATAGCTGATAAAAACTACACTTTTTTAAATTCAAGCAATAAATATGGAATGCTGAATGCGATAGCCATAGATAGAAATAAATATATTTATATATATATTTTATATATATTAGGTCGAGTCATAAGTAACTTACGATGCGGCTATGTAGAATCTATTTTTCGTATTTACCTACTATAAGTCACCGAAACAAACGGATTTTCAATATCACTATATAGATGAGGATTCAGTTAGTCTTCTGTTAACTTTTTTATGCTGTCAATGTTACATTTAACCGTTTTTCTTAACCACTGAAATGGATAGTAAAATGTGCATATTCGATACGTAATGATTTAAGAATTGAAACAAGGCAATGGCAAGGCAAAACAAGTGCAGGACTGATAACTGATAGGGCAGTCAGAAATTGGTTTGTAAAGTTCCGTTCTGGAGATACGATCTTAATAGATGAACCGAGTGCAAGACGTATTTCCGACTTTGATGAATCTTTTAAAGGTAATATTGGAGCAAAGTCCAATAGATAGATATATCCAACAGATGCAAAAAGTGCAAAAAAAACTCCATGATAGTTGTCTTGCTCTTATCAGTCACAGAAACGTCATTCTTTCTCTCATAAAACACGGAAGTTATTCATGACTCGACATAATGTATATATATGTAGGATTGGGTTTAGTTGTGTTTAGTGTAGAGGTAGTGACAGGTTAACCTACACTCGGTTTAATCATACTGATAAAATATATTTAAAAAAAATATGTATAATGAACAAAACATCGGTATCGTTAGGGAACCTTTCCAGAAAAGAACCTCATAACGACTTACACAACTTACACAACTTACAAAGCAGACCATACACCTTCTTTCTTTATTTCGACCTCGGTTCGTTTGGACCTTATTCTTTTGTCGCCTACCTGCACTCTTATCTCTATTTATTTTTCTATCCTTCTATCTTCCCTACCTACAAACAGGTTTAATTATTGTATATGAGTTGATTTGTAGAGCAGTCGCACACAAACACACACATATACAATCGAGAGCGATAATTACGAAGCATAACATAAAGAGGAGACCGAGAATAGGAAAAACTGTATAGCTATATTCCGTCTTATTCCCTCGCAGTCTAAATCCTATGTTTGTCTCTTTTTTCTCTCATTATTTAGTATGGCAGCCGTTTCATAGCTTCGTTACATAGCTTCGTTTCCGTTTATTTACTTTTCAGATCACTCCCATTCTAAAGAAGTTTTCACTTCAAAAAATATTCTGCTTTCGACGACTACTTTACTCAGAATAACTGATAATTGCTCATTATTATTATTGCACACACGGTGTGCAATCCGTCTCGAATGTGTTAAGCCGTTTTTTACCCCTATTACATCACCGCGTTTCATTTTGAAATGAAAACTTGTTTAGAATAGGTGTGATCTGAAATAATGAAATGCGGTAATGTAGTGAAGAAATGAAACCGGAATGTAATGGTGAAAGAAAACAAATGATGCAGTGATTATACTCGTATAATTTCGATACTAAACCTGTTTGTAGGTAGGAGCGATAGAAGGATAAAAGAATAAACAGAGATAAGAGTGTAGGTAGGCAACAAAAGAATAAGGTACAAACAAACTGATGGTTGAAAGAAAAAATCATACCGGTGCCATTTGTTATATATGGTAATAATATTATAATATATAAATCCTACAAAATTATCTTACTCTTGATACTCTGAACACGTCTCATTCTCTCGAAACTTAGTTTTTTGAAGGTTTCACTTCTAATACCTGTAATCTGCACACATGATTTCTTTTTATCAAATCACACTCATTCTAATAGTATATTACTCACCTAGGGAGCAAAGTCAAGCAAAAAGGATGTCATACTTTGCTCCCGTGGTGAGTATACAATTTTTTCTCACACCTGGATCGAAAGTTCGCTTGTAATTAAATAATAATATACTAATTTTCTACCCGGGCGAAAAGCGCCTACTTTTCTCCCGCTGCATCTGTAAGAAACGAAGTTGCCGCTTTCCGCTTGCCTCTCTTCTCGCTGCGTAAAACGAAGTTGCCGCTTTCTTACTATACTGTCCTAGGTATGTAATATACTATTTTATTTGTTGTCAATTAATACATTTTGCGAAGATTATGCAAATTTACCAACAATCAAGGGGTCCAGG